GAAAAGTTATTTCACAAGTCTGATCACTCTTTTATTAATAATGGCTGGAGACGGCTTGAATGGGTAATGAAGAAAAACTTTAATACAACAGCAAATGTACAACGTTTCGACAACCGGATGATGACAAAACCTTGTCGAAACGTTGTACATTTGCTGTTGTATTAAAGTTTTTCTTCATTACCCATTCAAGCCGTCTCCAGCCATTATTAGTCTCGAAGTGGGTTCCTCGTCATCGAATTAACGCTCTCTTTGTTTTCATTTTCCATAGCTTTATTAACCACTTTTGTTTCGTTTTCCATTTAGGTCTTGGCCTCGGACTTGTCACTAACCTCACGCCAGTAATTATAAGCCACTACTTTCAAGAACACAAAGCTACAGCTTGTGCAATATCCTACAGTGGCTCCACGGTCGGAGCGTTTTTCTTTTCATTCATTATTGCTGTGTTCCTGGAAAGGAGAGGCTTAAAAGCTACCTTTCCTGTCCTAGGATACATTATGTTTTGCAGTGTTTTGGGGGCAGTTTTCCTTCGGCCAGCGGTTCTACACAAGGACGATCTTCCACAGGTCTGTAACCACGAGGATATCGAAAGTGTGGTCAAGAAAAGAGCAACAAGTTTTTCTGGTCCTTTAGAGACAAATGTTATTCCCGAACCTCCTACATCATCTACTTTGAAAGAAGATCCACAAAATTGGACCAACATCAAGCGCAGGGCTTCTGATCAGTTTCAGAGAAAAAGATCCACCATATTTGTTATAGTTGAAACAAAAAAGTTTGTTCCTAAGCCTCACGTTGGAGGTCAGGTACCTTGCAAACTAAAAGATGATTCAATCGATAAGAAAACCACTGACATTAACTCAATAAAAAGTCTCTCACTTTCATTGGCTAATGACTTTGAAAGACATATTTATGGAGAACAAGACACGGCCATGTTCTGCTCCCCGAAATGTGTCCCTCCAATCAGTTCCGTATTACAGAAACTTGATGACAACCTCATTAAATATGTTAAACAATACTTTTCTTTCTTACCTAACTATTACTTTTTGTTGCTAACGGTCTCTTCTGTTAGCTTTGTGGTAACCTCTTGGTCCATACTCACTGTGCTACCAGACTATGCCAAGGATCAGAATATCGAAACACATCATGCTGCCTTCCTTATATCCGCTTTCTCCATCACGGATATTCTTGGGAAGTTCATACCATCGGGCTTACAATATTTCAAGCTTGCCGAACAAAGAACAGTCTTATCCGTTAACCTCGCTCTTCTTGGATCTCTTTGTTTCTTACTTCCTCTTCCAGCACAGGGATTCTACTGGCTCTTGGCTATCTCTTTAGGTTTTGGTGGGGTAAGCGGCTGTTTACAGACTCTGATTCCAGTTCTCATCTCTGACTACTTTGGTCCTGACCACACTGCTGTCGTATTTGGATTTTCTAATTTTTTCAATGGACTTGCAACTCTTGGGCGGCCAGCGATGATAGGTGAGTGTACGATAATAACTAGTACTTGACAATAAACCCTTTTTTAACTGAGGGGTAGGGGTGGGTTATATACATTTTTCAAAAATGCTAATTGAAATATTATTGTATTGATAAATTGATTCTTTTGAATGATTAAGAACGAGATTTTATGAATTTCCGTTAGCCGTTGTGAGAATAATAATGCATTACTACGTTATCTGGTTATACTTTTAAAGTTAAACTTCAGTTTTTGTTAAATTCAGACTCCAACCTGCTGTGTCTATCTGGATTTAAAGTTGATTATAGTTTTTTTCGAATAATTAATGTATTACTTCCTTTTTATCTTTGTGATATACCAGTCTTCTCATATCTACAGGATATGTTTTGTTATTCTCCCGTGGGTCAGAGAAAAGTTTACAATGCTAAAATTAGAGGTTCGATTCCCCGTATTGGACAGAAGGCAGATAGTCTGTTGCGTAGCCTTGCGCTAATACAATCAATTCAAGGTCCACGATTCGAAAATCATGTAATAATTAAAAAATACGATATCGTCTTATAATCCAGTAATCTTGTAATCATGATTCGTATATATAAAAGAGCTTTCTCATTCTCCTCATCGTACTGTTTTAATTAGATTTTGTTTGTTGTTAAGCCTAAGACTACACAATGGGCTAGCTGGGCTGTGCACACTACGAGTATCGAAACTCGGTTTTTAGTGGTGTGAGCCCTCAGACTTACCGTTGAGCCACAGAGGGGGTGGGAGGTGGCGATGCAAACAAAATGCGCTGTAATCAAATATTGCAAACTCAACCCTCTTAGGAAGCAGACCTTATAATAATTTATTTTAAATTGTTACGTTTCCGAGAATGTAGCTGAAAATACAAAGTTCCAAACAGGTTATTAACGCATTAATAACGCATTAACGCATTAACCCATTTAACGCATGAAAAAAAAACATAGTGACTCTGGGGGGGGGGTAAAGATATCGGGGAGACGCAGATTCGAACGCCGACTTCTATGTCACCCCTCGGGGGTACAATAAAAATGTCTTCGAAGTTTGGTAGAGATCAAGGAACATAAGGAGCCCCCCGGGTGGATGGGGTGACATAGAAGGGGTCATATGTGAACGCCGATATCCCCACCCCTATATCGCTCCCTGGAAAAGCTCTAAGGGTACCTTTCATATTTGGCTGACTGCAATCAGAAACTATAAATGTGAAAGTGGACACACAGACGACATTTATATTTTAAACATAAAAGACCGAACTTTCATTCTATTTTAATAAAAACTTATTTTACTTATAAAGTGAACGTAGTTTGAAAGACCGATTTAAATTCACTTTCATGTAAAATTGCAACACGTGAAAAAAGGAATGAAACTGAATCACAACACAATCATCATATTATATTCGTTATGGACTTCCGAACTCTCTTTCGTCACCAGGCTATAAACGTATATGCACATGCGCGATTGTGCTCTTCTTCTGAAAATAAACAATAAATGAACTATATAACAATTTATTACAACTGTTAATCACTAATTATATTGAAACATTTCTCTAATTTATTTTTCTTTTGTTAATTTTTTCAACGTTTTAAGGAAAATTTATCGC